CAGAAGTAGCATATTTTGCCTGCCAAACACAACTTATAAAAGTCAGTGTCCATAAAAAATTATTTCTCACCATTCAAGCTTAAACTCTAAACTTGACCAGGACTTATATGCTTGCTTTCCCCTCCCTTCCAATTCATTTAGACTTTTTCCTCGTAGTGACCTCAGCTTAATGGAGCAACAATGTCGTTACAGTAGTGTACAACAGCCATCAGCCACTCAGACTGTTTCGTAGTGGGAGGTTGGCCTGCTGTCTCTTTGGCTCAACTTTAAGCAGACGGACTGTCTTTGCTTCTCTTATTGTATCAGCGACAACTGCTCTGGATATAAGCGCATATCTCAACATGAGCCAGTTGTGACCAGTCCTGCTCCTGGTGGGCCAACATCCTGCAGAGTTTATCACCAACCTGCCTGAAAGTTTCGGTTCCTTGATTGGCTGGTCCAGATGTGTTTAATTGTTTTGGAGTTAAGCTCTGCAGAACGATGGCCCTCCAGGAGCAAGATTGGCCCTTTTCCTTCTGACTGGTTGATAGAAATGATGTTCCAGGACCAAAGGATGTTGATCCAGGAAATTATATTAAGCATCCATATATATTTGTTGGCATTTCTAATCCTCTGGTCTTTGACTACAAGCCTAGAAAGGCATTGAGCCCGTAGTGCTAGCTCTTGTGCTTGGGCTAATTTTGGCCTCCGTTGTTATACTCTGAGAGCTGCTCAGTGAGGAAGCTAAAAATACTTGGGGCTTTATCAGAGCAGATGTGTTTACTAGCAGATTCTAAGCCGCCTACATACACACACAGCTTGTCATCTATCCACACCCCCACCCTCTTTTTTGGCGCTGTCCTTATTCCTCAATATGAGGCCATTTACTGTGCTCTGATCCTGCCACTCTGCTCCTTTGTTCTGTAGTCTCTTTATTTCTCACTTAATTGATGTCCATGTTAAATCTGCAATCAGCCTTTTTCGTTTGCACCCCAGTGCTGATTTACAGTTGCTCTTGTGCTTCTGATATGTAGATGTAGGTTATAAAAGCAGTAGGGTGTTACAGCTTTGTCAAACCCTCCTGTCATGCATTAGGAAAGAATCCATCCCAGGTCCTATACTTCTCTCCACAGGTCGTCCCATACACATACACCCTTCTCGCTGCAGCTTGTTGCCATAGGAACACTCCTGCAGCAGACATGCGCTCTGGACCTTCTGAGTCCACTCTTCATATCTGGCTTTTTAAAAAAAGACGAAGCGTGAAGATCTGTGCATTTTACGCATGCCAGAAATAGCTGCCCCAAGCCTTCCCCAGAGGCCCACATCTGACTTATCGGTGGTGCTAGACAGCTATATCTACGTGCCACTCAGGAAGAACAGGCCTCAGCGCTGCTGAGACTCTTTCATAGCTTTATTTAGGTTTCGTGCTGGTTGAATCAGCAGAAACATGTACATTTTACCTTGAGGCTACATTTTAAAATGTCTACTGCTTTGTTCAGGAAGCAGAGGTGCTTAGGTCATTGCATTGATGCCAGCTGATCTCTGTTGTAATGCATAATGGAGTTCAGCTGCGGTTGGATTTGGTGTTAGTGCTTAGCTGGTCATGAATGTTCTTTGTAAATGCATGTACCTCCATTTCCTTCTGGCTGTCTGTGTAAGCCATGCTAACTCTCTTCTCTGTCTCCCTCTGTTCTTTAGAAATGAGTCGCCAGAC